GCCACTGACAAGCCGTACGAGACGTGCAGATGCTGAAGACCAGCACCATTATCAGGTTCGCGGCCGTCGCCGTCGTTTGCACGTTGCCTGATATATCATGTCTGCTGGTTAGCTAATTTGGTCGATAATACATTTTGTATATTTCGTATTTGTGCAGCATACTATTTGCAAGTACAATACTTTGGGAGTCCATTGTGTACAGAACATTGGTGTGATATTATATTAGATAAGCTGAATTAGAGTAGAATTGTGTATAGAGTGCCGATAAATTAGGGTACTCATAGCCACCATGTTAATGCCTGGAGTAGTCGGGTGAGATAATTCCCACCTCTTTTGAACTTGTCCATACATAAAGGGCAGTGGCCCATAATGATGTTCCACGCGCGTCAAGTATAAACGAAGTTAGCAAATTCTTGACTATTTGACCCCCCCCCAGAGGAGTAACAGCGAACAAACAGCTCAATGAGTACTCAATACTGAACAGATCTAATTTTAGTAGCTACAGTTACGTACTCCCACTCCTGAAGTCACAAAACTTAGTGAGAAATAGCCAATCACATGCTCTGAATTCATTTACAATAGCCAATCACATTGAAGTGTGAGTTTAACAACCAATCACATTGCTCCTAATCACATATGTCCAGTAATTCTCATAACGCACTGCCTGCCGTAGTGGATCTCGTTGTGTAACATACTCTATATTCAATACAGCAAATCTCATGTGTTCTTCAGTATAAAGCATGTGCGATTCGGCAATTCTTATGTGGTTCTCAGCAATTCCTGTGTGGTCCTCAGCAATTCTTATATGGCAATATTTTATCCTCATGGCTGATGTCAAGGAGGCTATCGACACGTCCTCGAGCAACCAAGCATACGGTCGCGCTGTGAAATACACTACCATCCCGTCGTCGGACGCCCATGATCACTGTGAGTACTTCATGAAGCAACTTGTGGAACAAGCTGACCGCGGTGGTCTGACCGACGACGAACGCAAGTCCCTTCTCGGTCTGAAGCTCTCGGCCGACAAGACTCCCTCTGGTGGATCGCCTACGCCAAGACGAAAGGCGGTGAGGTCTGGTCTGAGATCCATGACAGCTTTGTGGACCAGTTCTGCAGCTGCACTACTCGCGACCACATGGACAACCTGATCGAGGCGTCTGAGCGTTACATGGACGAACCGGCAAAGGCGTACGCAATTCGACTCCAGACAATCTTGGACGAAGTGGACTTCCCAGCTAGTAAAGGGGTTGCCATGTTCAAACGCGGAGTCCAACACGCCCGGGCAGAGTCATGTCTCGAACACACCGACCGCGAACTCAACTCGACTGCATGAAACTCCTCCGCGCGCGAGAAGTTCGTCTGGACGAAATAACTGCCAAGCCCCCCAGACGTACGCCAAGCCTTGAACCAACTCCTCGGCCTCTACGTCGGCGTCGTCTCGTGCAACTGCCACTGAACTTTCAACTCCTCCGGCGTCGCCTCGCCTGTCACGCCGCGGATCCCAGTCGGGTTTGAAGACGAAGCGGCGATGCGACAACTTCTCGAACTCATGACGACGAACATGCCCAACAACAAAAGGCGTTCGTCGCGTTGATCGAGCGTTCGACGCCATGAGTCGTTAAACTCAGCCTAATTATGCTGCACCGATCCAACCGACGCAACCATACGGCTTCGCCTATCAACAAGCGGCTCCAGTCCAGCCCGCGACTTTGTCTTTTCGACAGCCGTATCAACAACCATATGCTCCTAATACCATTGCACCTTCCGGCCAAGCGGCCCTTCCACCGAACCTGACACCGACACAGAATCAAATGTCCAGTGCCGGACGTACTCGAGTTGGCCATACCCCAGTGGTGATCTCGTCCAAGCCGACGAAATGACCGTCAGCGGCCAAAAAGTCTTTGGTCGTTCTGATCGTCGTGGACATGGCGCCTCTCGACGGACTATGCTCAGCAAAACTCTTGCGGTCAGACGAGACACTACCCAGGAGAACATGTCAAGCTGCCACTTCTGCGGCCAGCCTGGACACACCGTCGCCAAGTGCCCATCCAAGCAAGCCTGAGGCTTTGGCGCTGAGATGAACCTTACGGGAACAGGTATCGTCTCGGCTTGCCACACTCAGTACGCTCCCTATGTGCCTGAGAACAATACATCTTCCTTTTATTGTTCGATCCTAATTGTTACGATGGAGGAAGGACTCACGTCTTTTATCCATCCTTCAATCTTAGACTCGACTCGAATGCCGCATCTCTCTACGCACACTCATGTTTCACGACGCCGGCCCCCGCCGACGGACTCTGTTCGTCTGGCCAAGCTTGAGTCAAACACTTCTCCTACGCACTCAAGACCCACGCCGACGAACCACCAGTGCACACAGGACCTGAACTCGATCAGGGGAATGGGAGATCCCTTCGGCGGAAATCACTTTCCCGCACCACGTAACTTTCTTCAAGAAGAGATCGCACTTCTTCGGATGCAGCTTGAGGCGGAACTTTCCAAAGATGGACAGCACCTTGCCCAACAACACAAACAGCTTGTCCGAGCTGTCTGCGTACCCCAGCTGATCGTCCAACCAACCCAGCACCCCGGCGTACAACAGTTCGCCGAACATTTGGTTCACCACGGACTGGCAATATGCCACGGTGTCCGTCTGTCCCATCAGGATTCTGGTTGGCGTGTAGACACCGAACGGTGTCATGAACGAGTACCACATCTGGCAGGATGGGTGCAGTGGCAACTGCCAATACCCTTCAGCCAGTACAACGTGAAAAACTCGTTCATGCAGACCAACGTCGCCATCGCGGCGTCCAGGTTCGGCATCGGCCAGGGCATGGGGATCGTCCATGCGTTGATCGGGCGAGAGTCGATGGTCATTCGATATTCGCCAGGGACTTTCTTGGCGACAATCCGCGGCGCTGGCACCCATGTCGCACGATTGTTGCTGTAGATGAGGCCTGCGGCCTCGTGCTCTTCCACATGCTGTTTCAAAAACTCCATGTAGGCCGGAGGGAACGGGCGCATCGCACACTTCACGGGCACCGCTCCTTCCTTTAGCCGTACTATCAACGACTCGACATCCACTGGCAAGTCGTGCTCAAACTCCAGGCGAAAGGCATCGGCGTGATCATCCAAAATTCGCCGGAGTTCGCTTTCATGCGCAGGGGAGAGGCCGAGCTGGATGGCCTCGGCAATCTTGCCGTCGAGAATGCGCTTTATCTCGCCGTCTTGGTCGGCGGGCTTCTCCATTGCTGGAGTGGAACACGCCACGTCCTCGGCGTACAATGCGTCTTCGGGGTCTTCCCGGAACGCCTCTTGCAGCCGCTTCACATTTGCTGACATCTGGTCGGCATCTCCCTCTTCGGCCATATCTCAGACTCGATGCTACTTCAAAGCGTCGACAAGCATGCCGTCGACTGAAAACCCCAGTCGCTCCATAACGGGACGTCCAATGAGAGCATCGATCTCCATCTTCTTTTCTTCGACCCACGCTCGAAGTCCACGCAAGACCAGGGGGCCGATAGACTTCTCCAACGTCACCGCCTTGAACTGCGCTTGCCGTGTCACATGGATAGCTTGGTTGTCTCTCTATACGGCTTCAACATGAGTCTTGGCTTTGTCTCAACGCTGAGACTTGCTCTAAGGCGCTCCAGCGCCATGAGGAGGCCTTCTGACACCAACGTCTCGTCGGACCCAGAGTCAAGCAACACTTTAGGAAGTGAGAGAACGTCCTCGATCGACGCTTGGAACTCCATGCTGTTCGTAGGCTTTGTGCTCGACACGAAGTTCACCGACCGACGGCGCGCCTAATGGAAGTCGTCCATCAACTTCTTTACCTCAGCATCTGTAATGCCAGGGTGTTCCCGCACTCGGTGTGCCATCGACTGACATATCAGGCACTAGGGCTTCGGCCACTCTGGCGGCTCGTCTCTTTTATCGGCACGCCAAGTAAGAGGCGCGACAGACGCGCCACTGGGCTGCTTTGCTTCACGGACCGGGCTGAAACGTGGACGAGGCCGAGAGCTTTCCTTCAGCGGCTCCTCTGCCGCCGGCTGCGAAGGTATTTCTTCGTCCATGCCGCCATACAGCTGGTACCCAATGGCGAATTGCCGCAGCCACTTGACGTAGCGAAACACGTCTGACTTGAGTACTCTGTTCCGCTGAAGTTGCAGCTGCTTCGTCACGGCCAGCTGGAGTGGTGCTGGCTTGATCGCTTTGGTGATGATTCCCACCACCAACTTCCCCTCCTGATGGAGCACCCACTCTTGGCCGTCCGCCTCGAGGGTTTTCATCAAGTTGTCGAGCATTCGACTCACTCGATTGTCGGCATCGAGGATCTTGGTGTCGAACTGTACGGCCACCTGAAGGCGTTTCTTCAGCGTGTCCAACTCAACAATGCACGACGCTCGGATTTCGTTGATCCCTTGAATGTTGGTGGCTGTGGTAACAGCGGCGCGTTGAGTACCTTCACGGCATCGTCGAATCCCATCTCAACATCCTCAGCTGCTTGTGCGGCAGCTGGGGGGGTTGGATGGTAACGGTACACCATTGCCGGTGCAGCGAATGTTGCCCATCTTGGGCCACTGCCTTGCGTTCCCAACCCGATCCGGTCAATGACCTGAGGTTGGGTTCTTCGAGGAGAGCCGAAAGGCCCGCGGAGCCGTCCGCGACCTTCACGCCTTCGTGGAGCCTGCCGCACTGGGTCATCTTCTCGCTTCGGTGAACGAGACTTGCGGCTTGACGACTCAGCTTCCGTATCACTCATTGTATAGTCGATACGATGCTCTAAAGAATTCTTTGTTGTGCATCCCGCACTGTCGACGTTCCATAGACCAGCATAGCAACCACAACGGTGGTTAGACTCACAATGCAAACTGACTGGTATTAACCTTTTATACTAACCAGTCATCGGTGTTGGCCACGCGTCGAAACCAGACGGATCTCAAAACCTGGAGGATCTTGTCCTCCCCCATGTAGGTGCGGGTTGCCCTCGGTCATTTCCCAGGGCACACGACGCACTTCTGCGGACGCGGCAGAACACATTGTATGAACATTTCTATCCCCACCCCTGCTGTAATAATGAGGATGTACCAGTGCTTGATAGCATAGGACACTAGACCGATCGTACTCAATCAGTACGTCAATTAGTACTATAGGTGCAATGTGTACCGATCGTACTCAATCAATTCGACTAGTTTTATGGCATCTCCGACCGCTTGGGCGAGTCAAAAGAAGTTCAAACTATGGGCATTTTTTATGATTGCAATGGAGTGACCATGTCGCACACAACCCAACAACTGTATTCTGGCGTCCGAGGTCCCGCAAGCAAGTTGAAGAAAATTTCATTTCCTAAGGCTAATTTTTTGCTTTCATGCACACCCAGGTTGCACCCCATCTCCCTGAGTTTTCTCCCACAGTTTTGGCGTGTGCTGTAGAAAATTTAACGTTAAGCAGAACTACCGCTGTATTCGTTGTTGCGGCTCTTTTGGGGCACCTACCGATAGGACATGCCTCCCAATTTTTACGCATATCAACAACCCAGTGCAGTACCGTAGGTGCAATGTGTGCAGTTAGTGACGTACAAAATAGTTGCTGTATTCTATTAGTCGTGTGGTCGTGCTGGAAATTCCTCATACACCTTAACATCGGCGTTGCTTCGACACCTGTGCTTCGAGGCTTCATTCAGCTGCGTCGAGTCGTCGCTTGGACTTGGTACTCCAACACATGGCGGGGCACATCCATACACTTCTCCGAGCGCTGTGGATCGCTTGCAATAGCCTGAGCGGTGTTTTTGGCATTTTTGACGCATTTCATGGAACGTCATCGGGAGTTTCGATTTCTTAAAAATGAACAGTGCTACGTGATATACTTAGTGGTCTCTTGTAAAAGAGTTATCGGGTTCAAAGTTTGCTCTGTGAATGCGCGGAATATGAATCAGACGCATTCTATATTTACAACGAAATTAAGTTCAACGTTTGGGGTAGGAATGTATGCGCTTGATTCTTTTGCAGTGTCATATTGTGTACTGTAGATCTTGGCAAAATAGAAAGACTAGTTTATCCGGAATTGCACTCAACTTTGGATTTCCTTACCTGCGGTATTTGCGTGTCCATCCCTGCACCCTCAAACAACCAGTTTCTGCTGGTCGGTGAAGCACGTGATTTCACTTGCAACTGGAATCGCGTGTGTGATAAGTCTGCTTGTCTGTGATTGTTCAAGTGTTGAGATCACGCTTGTGCGGTTGCTCTCAAAGTGATCATCCACATTTGAAAAGTCTTACTTATTGGAGTTTTGTTTGAGTAGTTTCTCCTCCATCTATCATTCCTCCCTTGCCCACTGGTGGTCCGTTTGGTGGTTCTTGTGTGTGTGCCTGCTCCATCGACCCTTGTGTTTTCGTCGGAGCCATCATCGCCGTATTTCGAGCGTATTTAGTTTAAGAGGTGTTGTGCCTTTGAAAAACAACAAATTACAGAGGTAATTGTAATTGTCATTACCGGTATAAAACTCAGCAGGTATTCATTGTACTGTACAAATGTAGCAGCTTGGTAATGCTGAGCACCATGGAGCCAATCAAAACGTCCGACCAAAAGCGACGAAAGATCTCCAGCACGATCGAAGGAAATACTAAATCTTTTAAAGTGAAAACAATGAGCGATTAATATTTGATTAGGGCAGTGAGCATTCACTGTCAACTACCCCAGCCATTGAAACGCCAGTAACGACGCTGAATACAGCAAGCAGCCCACGATGGTCGGTGCCATTGCAGGTCGACGATGGGGAAGGCGTCACAGGAAAACTAGGGAATGGACGGCGGGTATTCGTGGCGGTGGTCGAAGGATTTGATGTGCTGGGTTTCGACGGCGAACGGGGTGGCGGGGTCCGAGGTCGATGGACCTGACGTTCTGGGCTTCGATGGCGATGGGGCAGATGTGGTGTTGCGGGGCTTTGACGGCGATGGGGCAGAGGTGATGTTGGAAGGTGGGGCGACTCCTCCTCCAATTGCGCTAGCGACGTTGATGCGTCCAAACCCGTAGTTGTTGTTGGGGTACTTGGAATCCGACACCCCCCCACAGTTCTCGTTGTTTGGAGTCAACGTGGCCGTGTCTGCAGTGGTCGTGAACGCTTTGTACACTTCATCGTACTTGGCGCCCTTGTTGGCAGACAAGTAGAGGGCAATGGCACCAACGACGTGGGGAGTCGCCATGGACGTGCCCGACTTGATCTTGTATTCCGAATTGCCAGTGTTCGATGCCGAACGAATTTCAGTCCCAGGAGCCGACACATCGGGCTTGATTCGACCGTCTGCCATTGGCCCGCGACTGCTTTTTGTCGACAGCTTGTCGTCGAAGCCCAGGTTACCCACTCCAATAACATTCTTGTAACCAGCTGGAGTCCACGTCGTTGAGCATTTAGAACCAGTGCTGCCGTTGCAAAACACGGGAATGATGTCCGCAGCGCGCCACGCGTCCACGACGGCTTGGTATGCATTAGAATTCACTTCGTCTCCCCAGCTGTTGTTGATGACGTCAGGCGCCAACTCGCACTTGGGGTTTTTGCCCGTCGCATCCGTCGGGCACATCATCCATTGCGCACATGCAATGAGCACCTCTTCTGCGCAATAGGCGGGGGTCAAGCATCCGCGGCAAGCTATCCACGTGGCACCCGGAGCTACGCCGATGCCGTTTTGGCCAACAGCTGAGCCCGCGATGTGGGTGCCATGGCCGTCAATGTCGATAGGGGTTGGGGACTTTTCAATGGCATC